AAGATAAGCAAAAATTTTTCTAATTTTCTTGAAAATGATCGACTGATTTTAAGGATTCAAACGTTAAAATAAAGAACTTCGGAAGACCTTTTGAACAAGCTATCACTTGACACCCCTGGTCATTTAAAATTATTAAGGGAATGACCTTGAGGGCCAAGGGTGAAAGGAGGTGAAGTAGTTTTTGGTTAAAAAGTTGTCCCGCTTTCAATACGAGTAGATGGAACTTATTATTTTATAATTTGGTAGGTTTGTTATCAAATCTTTTATTGATATTTTGAATTGATGATTTTTATACTTCTTTACTTAGTTCTTTTGGTTGTATACTCGTACTCGTATTAGTGGACCCTGGAACATAAATGACCTTAACATAATGTCTTTTTGTAGTGTGAGTATTTTTGTTTCTTGTATCATATTATATATGTTCAATATTGCTTTATGTTAATCCATTATTATGGTATAAAGGAAAAGTTTATGTATACTAAGAATTTTGTTTCCGAAAATAGCAGTTCACTAGAATATAATAATTAATGGCTTATCATATATATTTTTTAAAATTAGTTTTTGTACAGTTTCTATCACAGTTAAGTTTTATATGCCGATCTCCAAGCTATTATCCTATATGTTAAATGACTCGGTATCTGGTAATATGTTGTACTCGTAGGAAAATGAAGAATTTGAACCTGAAGATATTAACTATGGTCGTTTAACCTTCCAGTTAATACGTAATTCTTATATGGAGTATGAGCCACATGAATCATTAAAGTACAAGTTTTTTAATACTGGATCAACCTAAATACCAAGATAACGATACGCGGCGGATGCTGTAGGTAAGGCCATTTGAGTGAATCGATTTAATTTTATTTATCCACGAGGCTCTGTGTTCAATTAATGAACAAATGATTTTATTTATTTGGCATGCAATAGCTCTTGATTACACGGCAAGGTAATTTGATTATAGAAGACCTGCTTTAATATTCTGCTCGTATTTTTCTCGAAATTGTACACAATGAATTTAATAAGGTTCCAGAATTGCGCGCCGGTATTCTCTTTCTTCGCTAAGTCAATTTCCAGCGGCCAAGCGAAATCAAAAGTTGTATCCTTTTATTAGTACTTGCTAATTTACAGGCGTCTATTTAACTTGACATGTTAGTATTTTAGTGTGAGACTAATCTTCGAACTGAATTTTTATTCAGTTAACTTTAACCAGTTGAAATTTTATATGCACGTTTGATTGTCATGATAATACACAATGAATTAAGTGTTGCCATTTTAAATCCAATGTGGCTGATGGTGCAAAATATACTAAGTGACATATAAAATGCAAAATCCAGAAATATTTATTGGATTTTGATAAAAACTTGTAAACATATTTGCTATCATGGATGATAAAACGTTGAAGGCATTGAAGGCAACAGTATGAACATGTTTACTTAATACTCAGTGATTTCTGTGTTAGTTCCATTTGTTTCATTGTTGCTCCATTGCATTATCATGCCTAGAGTTCGCAGATGCACTAAATTCAGTCAACTTTCAGAGTTTGAGACAGGTCTGATAATCGGGTCATGTGAAGCCAGATTTTCTTTTAGAGAAATCTCTAATCGGGTAAATTGAAACGAAGCTGCTGTAATGAGATGTTGTCGAGCGTGGTTCCAAGAAGGTCAAAATCGACGAGCTAGAGGTACTGGACGTCAAAGACCGACTGCAGAGCGACAGGATCTTCATTTGGGGCAAGTAGCACTTAGAGATCGATTCTCCACAACAAGGGTAGTTGCGAACCAGTGGTTTGATGCTTTCGGAAGGGCAATAACAATGACAGTTTATCGCTAAATAAGGTTTTTTCGACTATTTTCATACCTTCCCCATCTTGTACTACTTCTGACCCCACAGCATCGTCGGCAACGATTGGTATGGAGTAAGGAGATACTTGAATGGAATGTGAAATGGAACTCAGTCGTGTTCAGAGATGAGTCCAGATTTTGTTTGGGCACACAAGATGGCCGTGCAAGAGTAAGGAAGAGACGTATTGCAATATTCCATCGAACGGCATATTAATCGCAGTGTAGGTGTTATGGCATGGAGTGCCATTGCTTACGGCAGCAGGTCACGATTAGTGTTTATTTGAGGTAGCATGACTGCCTAGCGGTATATCTACGAAGTTTTACAACCACATCTGCTTCCCTTTCTGGAAACATTGCAAGATTCACTTTTTCAGCAGAACGATGCACGACCTCATGTCGCACCTGTTAGTTTAGGCTTTTTAGAAGCGTCCGAGGTAAATCTGCTTCAGTGTCCGCCTCGATATCCAGACCTTTCTCCCATCGAAAATGTATGGACATGATGAGAAGAAGGTTGCAAAATTCAACACAAAAATTAGAGGCTATATGAAACCCTAATCTAATCAATGCCGCGAAGACTTAACGAATGTGTAGCGAACAGAGGAGCTCCAACACGTTATTAACATTCAGGTGAGAAATTTTGAGATAAAATTTTAGTCACTTTCTATTTATCAGTAGACCCATAACTTACAAAAGTATGGTCAAAATTACAGCGATGTTGCATTTTCTATGCCATTTAGTATACATATAGTATTATTTCTACACATGTATATTGATATGTGTATCAAATGAGGCGGTTTGATCAAAGAAACACAATAAGCAAGGTGACGTAATTCTAAATCCAATATGGCAATCTGTCACTTCCACAGTTACCTCTTTATAATATAGGCACCTAATGAAAATCCTTCATTATCGACCATGGGTAAAGGTGTGTATATATTTACAATCGGAAAAAATATTCTGAAATTTTTATCTCTTTTAACGTCTAAAGAGAACTTTGTTTATTTAAATGTTTCTATTTTCCTTTTATTTCCTTGCTTTATACTATCGTTCATCCTGATGTATTCAGGTTGCATCAAAGTAGAATCAATAACATATCCTACTAAGCGGGACCGTAGAAAATGCTTCTTTCGGAAGCTGTTGCACTCAAAATACAACTTCCTCCCGTTGAGGCATACCTCAGTACACCGATGGGCCACTTTAGATCTATTTAACATGACTTACAAAAAAATAATGTGGTAGACAAGGACCAGTGGACCGAGGTGGTACCACTCGCCAACTTTTTCTAGGATCTCTAAACAATGTCCGCATGTTTTTACATAAAAGCTATGCAGTCGGCTTTCTTCTTTTTTCCCTTCCCCTTATTAACAAAAAATGATAATAGATCTTTCGGGATATAAACTCACTCCATTATAGGAATGTCCAGGTGCTCAACTCCAAACCATCCCCCAAATTTGTTTGCTGCATCTATCGCATAACTCCCTGTTTCAGAGGTAGTCATGAACTACACTTTAACCGCATTTCATCACCAACAGGAGGCTGCTGGATCATTTACTGTCCACGCAACCTTTCCTTACAACACTGTTGTCTAGTATCCCCTGGATAACTCAGACCACGGTGTTGTTAGGTTTCAGTTAGAACCGGCTGTGGCGGCAGAAACTCATAAGTAACAAAATTTCGCATTCCGAACGTGCTGAATGGGCTCAGAGGCTTTTTCTTCAACTTTATTTATTTTTTTTTCGCTTACTCGAATGTGCCGGCTGTCTGTTTATCAGTTACTGAAATTAACCACGTTGGGATGGAAGAACACATGCCTCATACAGTGAAAGTTCCTAAATCAGAGCCTAACTTGAAGATGATACAAAATTTTATCTAGAAAAAGTTACTGGGTGACGGTGGCGCTGGTGCAAAATATAATAATAGTAAATATAAATAATAATAATAAAAATAGTAATAATCGTCTGTATTAGGGGCGAAGTTTAGCATTGTGCTACTCTGCCACTTAACCCCAAAACAAATGTACAAAATAAAAAATATGAAATATTTCAATGTTACAATAATGAGCCAAAACATAGGTATATAAAATATTTATAAAAATACGTTCTGTAAAAATATCTTGAATGGAATTATAACATATTATAGCTATGTATACAAAGATGTATAATTAGCATTAAAACATGTTTGTGAAGCGAGAGGTAAATTTGATTAAACCATGAAAAATATTTATACAAAATATGGTTTTGACATGAGTTTTAAATTCATCATTATTCAGTTTTAAGGTTTGTGGAATTTCGTTAAAATTAATAACTGCGTTATATATGAAGTAATCACGGAATAATGATATCTCATGGAACACCGTTAACCAAAATCAAGCAGCCTAAGCTGAGACTTTATATTGGTTGTTGTTCGGAACATCTGAAATCTATATCTATCTTTTACTACTAGCCTGTAGGAGACACAAGTTCTGTTCCTTAGTTGACTTGACCTTTGTCGATTTTATTTACTTTTATCGCAACTATTGAAGTAAAATCAAACATGACATTTTTATTTTTAAATGGCATTACTATAAATTTATTCTCTTCACTACTAACTTGCTAAATAATGTTAATGAAAAAAATTCTGGGTAAATAATGTATCTGTGCAATCACGTTAAGTTTCTTTGGCTTGTTGTGCACATAATAATTGTCTCTGCTAATAAACCGTTTATTGGATTATTTTTTGACTAGAAGTTAATACACAGACCGAAATTATTTTTGATGATTATAGATATTATTTATCAGTTCCATTATTTTGATAGCTTGAAATTCCGTGTCCACTTGATAGATTGAAGTATTTGAAAATGCGGGGGGAACGAACGTGTCGACGTATTTTGAGACTTTATTATGTAGAAGCAGCGCCCCTTTCCTACGCACCGTCATTGCGTGTACTTCATTCGGACAACGTCGCCGGATGTTTAGAAAATTCTTATAATATGCTAATAATATTTCAAAGTCTAAGCAAATAAATGTGGTAATATGTCCGTATGTCATAATTAGTAGAGAAGGCTATTATTGTATTCGCATTTCTCCACCAAGGTATGTAATGTACTGGGTACCGTAACCTCTATGAAGAAGTAAGGAAATATCTAACAAAAATCTGAATTGAAATCTAAAAATTTCTACTGACCTGATTTTTAGGTTGGGTTTGAGAGGAGTCCTGATCCAATGTATGCTGATTACAACGATTATGTTGAGGCACATTGCCAATGCACAGCAGATCAGTAAGAAGTTGATGCACATTTCTTCCATTCTTTCGTAGAACGGGTCCTCCAAAACGTAGGTCTCGTTGTACCAGGTGTCATTGGTCAGCATGGTCGAATTACTAGTTACATTGATGAAGGTCATCTTAGTATCTGAAAAAAGAAGTGCCATCTATTAATAGCAAGTTAGGGAAGATATTCTTCCATTGTCGCTTTTTGGTCTCTAAGGCCCGTATCGTCAGTCGTCCCTACAATTGTAGGGCGCGTTTATGACCTCCTTGATTCCGATAATATTACATCTTCTTCGGTTAGGTACATGTATGTCCTGCTTTACATTTATAGTCTGCTGTCAATTGTGATGTTAGGTTATGTTTCTTTTTTGACGAAATTTTTGACAGATGAATCAAATGTCGAAGGATATTTCCTTGCAAATAATGTTGATCATTCAATAATAATTTCCTACATTGAACAAATTCGTCAGGCTGCGGTAACCACAACCACGCGGCCGGTTATAACCACTTGCTGTGGTACTAACAAAGAGAAAATTATCATGCGGAGAAAGGTACATAACAAAAAATAGGAAAATAATGGGAAAAATCCGCAAAAAGAAGGAAAGTGCATTGGAGCAAAAAATAGGAGCAGTACGTATTTCTGCTTGTTGGCTTCATCAGGCCCGAAATGAATGCACATATGCAACCACAAAAGTAGATACACCGGCCCATACATCCGGATACGGGTGTAACCTGAGGAAACGAAGATGGAGAGGGAAAAATGATACACGAAGTACCCAACAAGAGCCAACATACACATTGTATTATGCACCATTTGGATCGCACGAATGAGAATAACTGAAGTTACATATTATAATGCACTACTCCGAATGATTTTTCTTTTGTTGTCAATATTCCTCCATTATGATTCATAAACAGTTTTACAAAAGCTTTTCATTGCCATTTAAACTTCCGAATAGGCTTGATTCTTCATCAAAATTTATTTGAAATCTTAAGATCATCTTAAGTTATGTTAAAATTTCGTACGACCAAATATACGTCATTTTGGATAGGATAAGCCACGAGATTACTTTCCGTCTGAAATCTGATATTAATGTAACATATACTAAGGGGCATATAAATACGAACACCCAGTTTAAATGGTTTTATTTTAATAAAAGTTGGTGAATGTATTTATCTTACTGTATATAACAAGAGAAAAAATTTTCAGCCTTATCAGTTGGACATTCCGGTTTTTATACTGCTTTTTTTTTAATTCACTAACGCTCTAAAAACGAATATTTCAGCCGCAGTAAAGAATCAACATTGGCGGATTTTGGTTCTTGACATCCTTTACGATCGGTTACGATGCCTAGAGTACGGAGACCTGTACGATTTCGTCAACTTAGTGAGTTTGATAGGGGCCGTATAGTGGGACTTCGGGAAGCTGGACTTTCTTTTCGGGCAATTGCAGTTAGAGTGCAAAGAAGTGTAGACACTGTGGTTAGGTGTTGTCAGGCATGGCTTCGAGAAGACCCTACGCAAAGAGCAAGGGGCACCAGGTCCATTGCAAATGAATGGTTTGCAGAACACGGAAGACCTATTGGCATGCGAAGTGTTTACCGACGAATGAGAAGTTTTGGCTTGTTTTCATACCGGCCACACTGTGTCCTCCCTTTAACTCGAAACACCGACGTAATCGCCTTGAGTCTCGATTTTGTTTAGGCATGCACGATGGTCGTGCCAGGGTTAGAAGGCGACGTGGTGAAAGGAGGAATCCACAGTTTTTTGTTGAAAGACATGTTCATCACACTGTTGGAGTTATGGTTTGGGGTGCTATAGCTTATGGTTCCAGGTCACCTTTAACCGTCATCAGAGGTAACATGAACGCGCAGCGTTATATCCACGAAGTTCTAGAACCCCATCTTTTACCCTATCTTGACACCCTGGCAGATCCAACTTTCCAACAAGATAATGCCCGACCACATGTTGCAAGAGTCACAATAGACTTCTTTCAACATAATGATGTCACATTGTTACCATGGCCACCAAAATCTCCCGACTTATCCCCAATTGAGCACCTGTGGGATATGGAGTAGGAGATTGCTCAATTTGCAACGTCCTCCTCAGACTCTAGAAGCACTTCGAGAGGAGTTGGTGGTTGCCTGGAATGAGATACCACAGGAGGACATTGACCACCTGATCAAAAGCATGCCTAGGCGCGTTGGAGAATGCGTAGCATATCAGGATGCATCCACACATTATTAAAGGTCAAAGGGCTTTAAAGCAGTGCAATCATTTTTATCATTTACTTATTATGCTTCATTAAGTACTTATACAAAATTTTATTAAAATAAAACCATTTAAACTGGGTGTTCGGGTTTATACGTCACTTAGTATAGATTTTTACCTATAATATTCAAATTAAGAATGTTTGTTGACCAACATTGTGGTGGAAAAATACAAGATTTCACAATGTTTGCTAATGCTACAGCACAACATTATACACTTGCAAGCCCGGATATAAATATGTCATCCTCCGCTTGATGCCATGACGTATGTAACATTCTTGATGAATCATCTAGTCAGTACTGGGGCTTCCTCATTCTCTCCAATAATATACTGTAATGAAGTTCCTTCTACTCTGATTATATCTTTTTCATTAATCAGTACGTTGTTATCGATAGTGTCATCTCACATTATTTGAGTATTTCGGAAGAATTTTAGGAATATGTTCAGTAACTTCAAAAACATCTTGAGCAAACAATACCGCCATTCATCGCAAACTTAATTATTCAAACCCGCCACTCAACTTGATAGTTTTAATGAAAAGTTTGTAATAACTTCTGGGTATGGCTCTGGATCTAGATTATTCCAATAAGATTTAGATGGTGCAGTCTTTTTCTTTGCATTTAAATGAGTCTTGAGGCAATTACAAACACTAAAACAGTTTTTACGCTCAAGTTAGTTAGGCAACGCGCTATAATAATGTTTACAGTCCATTTCGAAATGTGATCTGGATAGCACCGCTTAGTGCAAATCTTATCACAAAACGTGTTGATTGCCTGCATGAAAGCCGGCCTGGTCGCCCTCTTAATTTCTCTAGATTCTCTATAATCCTGACGCATATGTTGTGACGGAGCAGCTCTATCTTCTTCTGATTGTCAGGCACGAAGCTCAGCACTATGTTGCCGTATGTGCTATAAACGATCAGCTCTGCCTTCTTCTAATTGTCAGGCTCGGTACATTATCATATACGCCTCTTCTGTTTCTCCCAGTCAGCTCATCACTTGAGAATTCTTCAATTTTTCTATTCTTTTTTGGTTCTTGTCAATCTCCTATTTCTTTATATTATAGTTTCATTTTTATTCCCACGAGTAATTGACAATTAAATGGTTAAGATGCTAACCGCCATCTGATTTCGGTGTGAGAAGCATATTTGACACAAACCTTGTCCTTGAGTACAATTTTCTCAGAGATTTCTGACCTCAAAAAGTAGACGGCCGGCCAACTCCTGCGAGATCTATCAGAAACTAGTTGAGACTTGTCTCAGCGTTATTTACATTTACGACATTTTGTCTCGATCATTTTCTCTCAGCTATTTGAATAAATCTCGGCTAGCTTCTATCACCAAGGTTTAAATTTGATATACTTTATTGCAGAGAGAAATCTAAGGAATAAAATCTCTAGTATAAACGTACCTTTTAGGTTTTCTATCTCTGGAAATTGGCAGTGTTTGTGTGGTCTCTTGAACTTTTCTACCGTTTTTCTTGTTAATGCTGTTGACGGAGATCTCTCAGAAAATGGTACCGCATAGCGTTTATGTGCCTTTGGTGCTCCTCCATAGGCGCCCCGCTTGGAAACCTTTTTCTGTGTCAAAAACGCCGTTTCTTTTCTGGGTTGTTTCTTTATTTGAAGGCATTTTTCTAACAGTACTTATATTTATAAGACTTATGTGAGCCTGCATTCAGCTTTTTTTGATGAGCTTTGGTGCAACTTCTTTGTCTGTTTCTCCATAAGGGCGACGATGACTGGAACAGAAGAAATTTCATGGGTTTTAATGGCCACCTGAAGTTTCTCGTAGTCCCACCGAAAAGTTTCTGGTTCGTAAAGTTTTCGCCTATGATGATCTCCGACCTTTTACCAAACGTTAACTGACATCGTCGGAAATTCTCCGAATCTCACTATTTGGTGACAGTACATTCTTCAGGTCTTCCCCTGGCTCATGATGTTCTTCTGCTACCTTTTTCAGTGATTCTTAAACTTGAGCTTGCTGTTGTAACAGGCCGTTCCAAACGTTAAGTCACGTTTGGCCAACGAATCCCTCAAACCACCGGAATGAGCATTTGGTTAGAGTATTTGGTTGACCCAAAGATTGCTAAAAACTGGAGAAGCGTGTAGTTTCTTCTTCTTCATTATAACTAAGTTTGTCCCAAGTAGCCCCTTCAAATCTTTGGCATGTTATCCTTTGTAGTTCGATTAATGGGTCGGACCAAGGAATAGCCGGTTCGGTTTATTTCGTCACGGGGGAAAATGTCTCAATCGAGCGGCTTCGCTACTTCCGTGTCAAACGGCAAGTTGAGGTCGGGGGATGGTGCCTCCAACTGACATTGTCTCTTGATTTCTCTTTATTTCCATTCAAATGCTTACTATCATTCCTTCCAGCTTACTCAGTCTCTCTTCACTGGAGGCGTTTGCTCTGTTTTGCCGATTGAAATGTCTGGCTACTATCGGTGCTTCGACTTGAGGAAGTTTTGCTTGAACTGGATAATGAGAACCGTCTCCTTTTCCTACTGGAAGGTCTTCGAGACTCCGCGTCCGTCGGAAGCACCACCGAGACTTATTCCGATTTTTGAAATGCCCGAGGTTAGTATAACTGGAAAAAGCATCCTCTTGTAGATTGTTCCACAATCTCGACACCCTCGGGCCGCAGGAGCGGTCGTATCGAGTTCTGGAGGAATGAAGTTCGACACGGTTGGCATGAAGGCCGCAGTCAGGCGAGTCTGTCTGGCAGGCACATCGCGCATGGTATAAATAACGTAGTCGGGGCGGCAGCACCCCAAACGTGTGAGGCTAGGCCTTAACTGGGAATTGTATACAGTGGGGAGGTCATCAGGAGAAAAGTATTTTTTAGCTCTGAACAAATAGCCTAGCCTTTTAAACTGTACCTGCAAGCAGTGATAGCAGGTCTCTCTTTGGAGATGAAAATTAATGCTCTGCAACTATCTCAATTTAATAGCGCCAATTTG